TGTTTGCTCCTGCTCGGGCAAGTTAGTCTGCCTCTTCATTGCCCTCGTACCCTGTATGTGCTGGTACCCATGCTAGAGTCAATTATGTCAATTACTGGGATACTGACCTATTTTTTCAATTTAGCGAAATAATTTAGAGATTTCCTGATTCAGAGTTCATCTCATTTGAATCAACAGCTATCACTCATGAAAGCAAATAAGTTTCCCATCATCTATTGTAAATAATATGTTATGTATTATTTCGTTGATATTGTCAAATTGCTGAATGTGCCAATTTTTATATTTCAGGAAAACTTGTCGATTGCTTCCTCATTCCGGTATATTTTATGAATGATATCTACCAATATACTGAGTGGTGTTCGCAAGTTTTCTAAATTATGTTTATATTTTTTTCAATTCTAAATATTCGTACAATACTGATGATGTATATATCGTCATGTGAATACAGAAAGGTTGAATGTGCAATCAATTTGTGTGAAAAATCAGAGAGGGGAAAATGCCCCCTCTTGTCTCTCCTTTATGACGCCCATGGACGAATCGCGAGAAGAATGCTGCTATACTGAATGATATATTCCAACATGAGTTACAGAAGTTAACATATTCTCACACGCTTTTTTGGGTGACTTTCTCTGTTGAAAGAGTCTCATATACTTTTTTCTATCACTGCTTATATTCATGAGATATACAAAGAATGGTCATTCAGAAATGTAGCAGTGATATTGAAGAGAGTTTTATATAACTTGTGTGTTCCCTCACGTCATACCTCTCCAACTTCTTTCAATAATCACATTGCACACAAATTTCGTCATCTATATTTTCCCGACTTACAAGGTGGAATCAATAATGGAATTTAAGGAACCGTTAACCTTCTCCCTATAACTTGATTTGCATAAGTTGAAAAGTAACCAAGATACGGAAGTTGCTCAAAAAGAGAGAATAATCAACTTTTCCCTGTATCTCAAATTCTTGAAGGACTGTGAGAATTATGTTTGCGGCATCATTCGCTTCACGAAAAAGTGTGGAAGTTATGTGGAAACCGCAAAACTCTATCTCCAAAGATAACTGAGATATCGCGTAAAAAACATCGGAAATTGGACACACTGTAACAGGGTGACTGGAATTTGAGCCACATCATTGGAATCTCCTGAACCGTAAGAGATACAGGGTCGGTTGAATTATGACATGATGGCGCAATTTTATGCCTTACGAAATGACGTTCTGCAAATTGACGAATTCCAAATGCTTCCAAAGACTTCTGGAAAAACCGAATATTAGCGATTTCATTTTTATTTTTCATTACCCTATTCAAATAGATGTAACAAAACTAATCACACATTCTCATTGCAACTTTTTCTGTTCTACAAGATGATGGTATCATATTTTCGACCAAACGTTTCGTCTTTGACTTGCTATCAGCAACCCTAGATTTTTTTTCCAACCCGTTGGTAATGTAGAGTGTGAAAAGCCAAGTTTTCAAAGCTACGATTTCGGGAACTGACAAGATATCTGCATAATTTCTGTAGACATCGTTTGCCGTCGTTGTTTCAGTTTTTTGTCAGATCGGGTTTTAGTGACAGGTGCGTGAAGTGCTATGGGGTGTATTATACCATACCTAATCATTTTTGTCACATTCGATTCATCAATAAATATATAAAAACTGCATAATGTCTCAAATAGCTAAGCAGTCATTGTTCCACAGAATCGTGGAATATTAAATGCCAATGAAAGAGAACAACAATTTTTTTAAATCTGAAGGGGATGGGGTTGATAACCCAGCAACTAATTCACAGTAATGACAATCGATTTGCCAAGGAAGTTACATGTGGAAATTTAGGAAATGGTCAGACATTCAAAAGCAACTTGACAGTGTTGTGTCTGCTCGGGAAATCGAGACCGCGAAACCAAATACTCATGTCATGAAAACATGGACTTCTACCAGAGATTACTCATGTCATAGTCAATGCTATTTTTTTATGCCTGTAAGAAGTGAAAGTTTATTGTATAAAGATGTGCCTATTTCGAGGAACAATGAAATTTATAGATGTATTTTCTTGTGATCGTTCTTTCTCTCCTATTTTCATTGATATCATAATATCTTTCAATATTGATAGGTTACTCTCTCTTAAACTATTAATGGGATTTTATATTAGTAAATATTCTTGAGGTCTCATTGTTTTTCTTCATCAGGCAATACTGTATCTGCCAGACACATGATATTTGAAGTCAAGATTAACAATGTCTGAATTTCAAAACGAATTTTCATACTGGGGATTCCTACACCCTACATTACCAATAGAAATTGATTCGGTCACCTCACCAACGCCAGGTTAAGAGCGTTTGATCTCCCAAAACCAACGGTGAATTGCACTCATTCGAAAAATATGCTTTTTCAATCCCATTGAGAATCTATTTTCTGTCTCTCTTTAAGAAATGAGTTCTTGAGGAAAATTCCATTAATTCAATTGTTTCGAATAAATCGGAAAAATTTGGATGAATCAAGGTACAGCTGATAAAATCGTCTTGAAAACAAAAAGAAAAGGCAGACATTTTTCGAGAAAAAAATTAAATTTGTGAGGCACATTATTTTCTACCTTTCGAACAATACTGGAATTATGGATGTACTTTCATTTCACTTGATTATTTGAGATTTTCTCTCCTCGTTTTCATAAAATAAAAATATCAGTATCATTTCAATATATGCGTAGTATGACAAATCAGATGATTTTCCCCAAAATGTCACTGCGTTCAACAAATTCTTCTATCAGGAAGGGTAAAAGAAAAATCCAATAGCTTGTCAGTGATAGTTTGTTTGGAAAAATGTTTGAATATATTTCTTCTCCTCAAACATTTTTCAAAACAAAGTGTCACTGACAAGCTATTGGATTTTTCTTTTGAGCTCCCTAATAGAAACAGTTGTTGAACGCAGTGACATTTCAGGGCAAATCATCTGATTCGTCGTACTTCACATATATTGAAATATTACTCATATTTTTTATTAACCTACAGACAGTACTGAATTTACTTGTTCAGATATACTCCATTCATTTTACAGATATACTTGTCATAGATAATATATTGATGAAATTTTGATAATATAGCAATCAGAATCAAGTACTTCTATCTTCGATATTTTCTACAAATTAATTGAAATCTTCATTGTAGATCTTTTGAAGACAGTCATGAGGAGTGATAACCTACAAAGTCTATCAAATCTTTGTTCAACTGTACCTCACTATACTTAAAGTCTTTAGATTCTCGGATCGCTAACTTCAAAAAACAATTCACAATAAATGACTTTTCATCAAAATCACTTGACTAAACAGGTGTTTAGAAACGGACTTTCTGCTCCCTAACGTTCCTCGATAGCATTCAGTTTTGATATTTTCTATACTTTAAGTAGGCCATGGTAGAATGTATCCGCACTCTAACATTCTTCTGCTCCGTCGTGCACGTATACCTCTATCGCATCAAATAGTACGCGCAATACATCGTTGCTTGCTCCGATTTTTCAATTCAAAAGCCTGATGGCATGTGTTATTCATGAACGGATTTTGCAAAGCATTCGTTATAAAATTACCTTCATATGGGGATATTTCACAAGTGGTAAGCATATGAGTGCAATTATTAATATCAACTCACGTGTTTGTACAGTGCAACCAAAATTGGGACCAGGAAAAGGAAGGCAACCCAGCAGTTTCATATCTTATATAGTGAATACTCTATCCATTGGAATTTCATGCATTCGAAAAGCAAGTCAGTGAAATTTCAAAAATGAATTCAATAAGAATATTCAGAATGATATTATATACATATATATTTTGAAGGAGGATGCAAATTCTCAACTTCAGAAAATTTTATTTTCAAATTCTTATTGTGTGTGTTCAGTGTTAGTCGTGGCATATAGCCAGAAGAGTATAATTGTTTTCTGTTGAATATACCGAGAAAGAATCAATATTTTCATCAAATAGAGGATGCGAATTCTCAATATATTCCTTTATATCTACCCACTTTTCTTATGTTGATAAAATATCTTTCAAAATTCCTGTTATATAATGTTCATTCATCATAGCCATGAACGTATTTTTTATGACCCGCCTGTAAAATCATGAAACATATTTTATTTGATTGATCTGGGGATCTGGGATCTTAGATAAGACGGGGAGAGAGCAACCACAACCACAGAAAGCATAAAACGGTGCATTTCTGGTTATGCGGAGCCAGCTGAGTATATTTCGTCTCTGATTACCTTATGTCAATTGAAATAAACTGATAAATGTAAACTGTGAAATACATTATGAGTACAGCGAATCAAGGTACGAGTCAATTATGTTCCCGCACCATGTTGCACATTATAACGGCTGGGGCTAGTGATACTGTTTCGGATTCATCTGCTCTCTCTGCATGTACGCCACCAGCGTCTGCTAAGGCTGTCCACCCTGAGACCCGCCTTGTTGTTATTGCTGCTGCTGATGTTTCTGCTGTTGCTGCTCCTCCTGCTTCCTTCCGTTGCTGCTGCCTCATTCTCTGTTGGTGCTAAGCAATGCTGCTGTTGGTGCTAGAACTGGCTAAATTCAAGGTGGTTCAGATCCAAAATCATCTGTAGTCTAGAAGGGATGGAGGTGAAAGAAAATTGTATATCGCTATTTCAAAGTTGGGAACCAACTCTCCAGAAGTCTAAACTTATAAGGGGTTTGGAAGAGCCGGACCTATAGCTCATAGTGGATTCCGAATCACTTTTAAGGCATCGAGGTGCTGTCAGGATTACAACCATGAATCCCACATTTTCAAGAAAAATGCTCAGTCGATACTCGGATTCGGACTGACAGTACCTTCGCATCGTGAACGGCTATCTAGCGAATTTCATCCCAGGTAGAAGGAAAGCTCTCCCACTTAGATCCATCATCACGGCTATAGAAAAAGATTCATGACATTTTGGAGGATATTAGCCAGGAAAGCTCCCCAGACGTGGTTCTTGATGTGGAGCCATCATTGAAGTGGTATCAGTCATTCTTGTCCTTGGATATGGTGTAATAGTGGCTGCTTTCGACATTTGAGCCGCAATGAACTACAACCGCATGAAGCCGGCAAATCCAGCTGTTGATAATAAGACACACGAAATGCTGCATCTTGATACTCTGGTGCGAGGAAGGATCGTAGCGGAAGAGTATCAGAGAAAAAATTAATCGTGACGGCGTCTTCATCATCTCTGTTAAGTGTTCTCTGATGGTCAATCGACTGCACATCTCGCAGTAGCATTGATTGTCCTCGGTCAATTTCCCTGGCTTGAAGTAGTAGTCCAGCAGTGACTGCACGGTCTTGTCCTCATAGTTTTTTATGTTGGGCAGGACAGATGCAGCTCGCTGAATAGATCGACAAACAACATCTTGAAACAGTCATCACCTTGCTGTTGAAAAACTTTTGCACCAGCGTCGTTTATCATCCAGATGACTTCTCCTGAAACCAGGTGCTCTTAATAAATACATTGAGATATATTAGGAGTATTTCATTTAAAGAGTTTCAAATTACACAAAGTAAATACTATGCAACACCAATTCCGTCGCACCCCAAAATGTTGCCTCTGTTGAAATATGAATAACTTCTCTCTGCTTTGAACTGGTGGCCCAATCCTTTATTTATAATTTTGTGATTCTTCAATAAAACATAAGGTTCTTCACATAAAATCGCTACAGGGTGTTACCTGAGCAAGTATCCCGAATGAAGAATTTTTTTCCCGACTTTGACAGTTGAGGCATGTAGTTGATCTAATTATCTTGAAACAGTTCTCGAATTGTCTCCTTATCTCTTTTATTTACAGAGTGATCTTAAAAAATTAACCTTTTGGTTTTGCAGTCATAACTTTCTTCCTTGTCAACCAATTCTTCAAATGTCAGGCTCATTTTGAAACTTAAACTTCAGATGAAGAGATTTGAAGATCAGAATTGACTCAAGATGAACATTATACAGTGTTTCTGACTTTTAATGGAAGCACCCCTGTATCTTTTATAATTGTTGAGTTAGGATTCTGAAATTTGCAAGAGTGGTAGGTATACTGAAAATACACACTACGACCAAGTAGAGTTGTCTCCAGTGATACACTGCTCGCCAACAGCTATGGAACCACCCACAAAAATGATATGAGGAGGCAAGATAGGTTGGAAATCACTTCGGATTCAGAATCATAACGTCCCTTTCGCTTTCTCCTGCAAATTCCAGTGCCCTAACTCGATAATAACGTGAGATACGAGGGTGCGTCCATGAGAATGAGTGAGACAAAATTAGATTTTTCTGAACTGAAAATTTTCTAGTGAAAAGAAGGAATAGTCAGTGAATTGGACGTCCTGATTTCGAATCCGAAGTGATTTTCAACCTATCCTGGCTCCTAATAACATTTTCCGGGAATTTGGGTGATTCCATGGCTGTTGGCGAGCAGTGTCTATCACTGGAGACGACTTCACTTGGTCATAGTGTTTATTTTCAGTATATATGTGAGTTTCAGAATCCTAACTCAACAATTACGGAACATACAGGGGTGCTTTCATTAGAATTAAGTGAGACACACTGTATAATATTTACCTTGAGTCAATTCTCATCTTCATATCTCTTCATCTGAAGTTTCTGCTTCGAAATGAGATTTTAAAACCGGGTTGAGAAGGAAAAAAGTTATGACTGCAAAACCAGAAAGGTAATTTTTTGAGATCACTCTGTAAATAAGAGGGATAGGTAGACAATTTGTTAAATGTCCCTAGGTAATGAGATCATCATGCTTCTGCTGTCGAAGTTGGAAAAAAAAAATGTTCTTGTTCATTTGGGATACTTTTGAAATTTCCGAAATTTTTCACAGTTTCAGGTGGCACCCTGTAGCGATTTTATATGGAGAACCTTATGTTTCAAAGAAGTACGAGATCATAGCTGAACGACTGGGATAGCGAAAAGTGTAATCCGAATTCAAATTGTTCGAAGCAAAGAAAAGTTATTCATATTTTAACGAGGACAACATTTTTGGGTGCGACGAAATTATTATACGTATACAGTCTGTCCAAGATAAGGTTGAACAGCATGGGGATCTCGAAAACGGTAGGAGATACGAAGTCGGTTAAATAGGGAAAAAGTTGCGCATTTGGGGGCTCATATCAAGAGCCTTCGAAAACTTTCAAAATTACTTTTAGTTTTTTAGTTATATTGAAAAAAGTGAATTTTTGGAATATCTATTTTATTTTTTATCTCCGTTATGATTAGAGATACTGAAAAACTGAAAATATTTTTTCATAGCAACTTTTGATGACATTTAACGTGGTGATACCAATTTTTCTATACGACGTTTCGTATTCGTAGAACCATCATCAACTTTTGTTTTTTGAATACGGTCCTGATAATTTTTTCACAGATTCTGAAAGTTTTTTTCATTATGAATTCAACCTTGTATTATACAAGGTGATTTATGTGTGTTTAGACCTATTTTTATCATCATCAATGTTTTCTCGAAATTCCAAAGGAGAAATGCCATCAGTTCCACTCATTTTGAAGGCAAATTAGTCAACACACTAATACCTCATCAACTGGTTTCAATCAACAACCCATTTTATTTTGAGGAAACAAAAATTCCATCCATACAAATTAAAAATATGTCATGCGCTAAAACCAGGCGATGACGAAAGACGCAGGACATTCTGTGAGTGGTATACCAGGAAATGTATGTATGTATGTAAATCATCTGGACTGATGCAGCATGGTCACTAATCATCATCATGGTATCTTCGATAGAAAAAATACACATTATTGTTCACGAGAAAATGAACATTTATACATTACAGCGAGACACCAACACCGTTTCGGCTTCAATATGTGGGTTGCAATATATGGTACACGAATTATTGGTCTTTTTATTCACCATGGAACACAGACTTCCTAACGTTATAGAAATTTGCTTGAGAATCATCTTGAGGAAGCTCTGGATGATTTACCGATTGCGGAAGTTCAGAACTGTTGGTTTCAACAAGATGGCGCTCCGGTACATAATTCCAGAGAAGTTCGAGCGTTTTTATCCAGAAAAATGGATTGGTACTCATTCTGTAGTCCCTTGGCCGGCGCGGTCACCTGATTTGACACAGCTGGATTTTTTTTAGGGGATATATCAAAAACTTTGTACACGCAAATAGCTTTGATGATGAAGAAGAACTAAAGGACAGTGTCATCGAAGCATTCAATAGAATAACCCCAGAAATGCTTAGTAATGTCTTAGAAACAACTGTGAGAAGAGGATATCTTTGTTCAGAAAATAATTTTGAACATTTGTTATGAATGTTGAATGTTTCTGAAGGTATTGTCAAAGTTAAGTTGTTAAAGTAATTCGTGTAAGAATTCATCAACAATTTTAAGCGCTGCATTGAAAGATGTAGTGAAATATTTTTTATTCACTTTTCAGTATTGAATTACTGATGGCATTTTTCCTTAAGTAGTTCGAAAAAACATTGATGATGAATAGAAATAGGTCGAAACACATTCGAATCACCTTGTATAATACATGGTTGAATTCAGAATAAAAAAAATTCAGAATCTGTGAAAAAATTATCAAAACCGTATTTAAAAAACAAAAGTTGATGATGGTTCTACGGATACGAAACATCGCATGGAAAAATCGGTGTAACCACGTCAAACGTCATCCAAAGTTGCTATGGGAAAATATTCCCAGTTTTTCTGTATCTCTAATAATAACGGAGAAAAAAAATAAAATAGATATTACAAAAATGCACTTTTTTCGATATAACTAAAAAACTAAAAATAATTTTAACAATTTTCGAAGGCTATTGATATGACCCTCCGAATGCGCAACTTTTTCCCCATTTAACCGACTTCGTATCTCCTACCGTTTTCGAGATCCCCATGCTGTTCAACCTTATCTTGGACAGACTGTATACAATGTATCAACTGATGAATTCTAAACACTCCCTGCAGGGTATTATCCACCGAAACTGACAGTTGACCCTGCATTACGGTATTTGTATATGGCTAAGCGCTGCGGTCTCTTCGCCCTCTATCTCTGAAACGATTGAGTGCATCGAAAAATGTATGGGAATAGGTTTATTCCAGATTCTATGCTATACAATCTGTATAATAGGTCACAACATCAATAGAGCTATAGAAACCTAGATAATCGCAAAAAAACGATCTTTGTGACCTTTTTCCTCGAATAACTTACGACGCAGACACGAGATTTCATGAGACTGAGTACGTCAAGATAATGATGTGAATCAGTTTTCAGCTTATTATTTCTCATTCCCGAAGTGAACCACTCATATGACTGGAGTAATAGTCAATATTGGTTTGTTGCCTTGTTGGTCCGTGATGTACTTATCATACCATGTTTGTTCACGACTTATTGCAGAATATAAACGTCATTTCGTCATCAAGTCGGCTTCCTTTATTACGGTGTCACCATTTTACCAAATTGGTGAGCAAATGACATGAACAAACGTGAAAAATATGTCTTTATTGTGATGTGACTTATTCACTTCATTCATCACGTCATAATATGGCGTCAAACCACGATGTTACCTCGGTCATCTACTGACGTGAAAAAAACTTCAATGAAACGGTGGTTGCTTGGATGATTTCGTTCTTGAGTAGCTGAATGATATTAAAATTTCATATAGTCTTCATCATGAAATTTCCATTAGATGTGGAATATCAAATATAAAATTCAGGAGATAATTGCAACTGAGTTCATTATTTTGGATGGCCTTCAGTGACAGGAGAAGCAGCGGTAATGATATTGCAAATTGAGGCAAAAAATATCTGCATTCTCCGTTCCCCATGATCTGAATTGTTATAGTCACTGTTTCAACCACTCCAAACAGAATACCTACTCATTTCTACTTTGTGCAACACAATTAGCGTAAAAAGGACGCGGTAATTGAATTATTAATTTTGTTAAAAACTGCAAGCTCGCTAACCGTAGCGCTATACTTCAAGAGTTGTTCATAATTCATAATTTCCTTTCTCAAGTAATTCGGAAGTTCCTTCGGATTACGTAATAGGAGAGCGTAACAGCAAAAATAATTATCGCCACTTCGTTTTTAATTCCAGGGATATGACATAATTGATATTTTTTGTTTGTTTTTGAATGTACATTCTCGTTCCTTCTTCGCGTTAGTATGGCTTTTCCCCTCTCGAGTTTTATCAAATTAAAAAATTAACGAAGAATTAACAAATTATTCAATATTTGTTTTAGCCTAGGCTAATTCCAAATTATATGGACAGAACAACGTTTTCCAGACTAAAACTTTTCCGATAATAGCTGTTCTTGGGATTGGCATCGATAGTAGCAATTCTTTTAGCATAAAAAAATTCAAATTAATTCAAT